TTCCTGACACCTCCCCCCCTCCCCCAGCCCCTCTCTGTCCCCTGTGCCCACTCCTCCAGTAGCCCCACTCTGATTATGTGAGCAACCCCTCCTCATCCCCTCTCCTAACACCTCCCTCTACACACCTGCCCTGCCTCTCTCCTCTGGTGCTGGTCCCTTCCCTGCAGGTGTCTGCCCTTCTGCTTCACCCTCAGAATCCCTTAGCACCTGCACCTTCCCTTAGCCCTGTAACCTCCTGGTGCCTCCCCCTTCCCTTACTGCCCCTGCCCCCTTTTTCCCTGATGCCCATCCCCTCACCACTCTCTGCTCCTATTCCCCTCATGCCACTCTGTGCCCACACATGACTTGCTCCACCCCCACCTCTCATGCCCACCCCTTCCTTCAAGCCTTCTCCCAGCATCTCTCCCTCCCCCTCCAGCCCCCAATGACCTTACTCCCTCCTCTCCCAGCATCACCCTGTCCCCCCTCCCACTGACACCTTCCCTCCTGCCCTTTTCCTCATTGTCTGCACTTGGCCCCCAGGCATTTGTCTCTCCTGCACCCCTGTCCCTTGGTGCCTTCCCCTTTCTTCCCCCTCCCCCTCCGCACAAGTCCCTTCTTCTCTCACCCCTTTCCCTATATTCCCCCTCCCCCTCCACACAAGTCCCTTCCTCTCCCACCTCTTCCCCTATTTGCCCCCACGCCCTCTGCACAAGCCCCTTCCCCTCCCACTCCTTCCCCTTCCTCTTCCCTTCTGCCTTCCACTTTGCAGGGCTGGAGTCTGCGCTCGGGCCCCAGAAGTCCCCGGACTCTGAACCTAGGCCATGCGGCGCAATTAAAGTCCCGGGCCGTGACGTCACATCACGTCCAGACTGAAAGCTGCGTACAGCAGGGACGGTTCGGGTCCAGGGAGGGGATGCTCTGGGGCCAGGGTAGGAGGACGCGCAAGGGGGCCGCCAGGTGGGGGCCGGTGCCCAACCCAGGCAGGGCCGGGGGAGAGACACAGCTCCAAATATTGGTGGAGCAGGACCCCCCGGCTCTGAATATTACTGGAACACGGGCACTGTGATGGACCGGGCTGGTCTGGGCACAGCTGAGGGTGTCCACTCAGGGCGAATTGCTCAAACTAGGGGCTCCTTACAGCCACCAGACTGGTGACCTTTCCAAACAGGCCACAGACCAGTCCCACAGAGCGCTTCAGCTGCCTGCCTGAAGCCTCACGAGCAAAACCCCTCCAATGCCCCAGCAATATCCGTGCCCCAGATGGCCCCGGGCCTCATACACAGGTGGGGGGTCTTAGAACCCAATCCCACCTACCCCGAACAAGCTCTGTCCGGTTCCAAGAAACCAGCCACAGATCCCAAGTCAATTTACCCTCTGGATTTTACCCACAAATCACGCTGAGCCAAACCTTTAGCATCTAACATCTAAAGGTTTATTGCTACCAGAAAGAAAAGCATGAGAGTAAGGTTGTTAAAGGATAATACTTTACATGCATCGAATCTCCCAGTTCTCGATGCAGGCTCTAGCAGGGATGTTATAGCTGCTGGCTTGGAAGTCCTTGTTGCGCATCCTAGGATCAGGATGGGTCCACAGTTCTTCCTGGCTCTTCGATCCCTGCACTGCTGCCTCTGGGATAAAGTGCTGAGCTGAAGACCAAGATGGAGTCGACCACATGGCCTATTTATCCCTCCTTCCTGTTCTCTTCTCGGCTACAGCAGGTCACTTGGCCCATGGCCTATCCCCGTGTTCCCTGCTGGTAGCCCCTAGGTATGGGTCATCACTCTTGAGGTGTGTCCTTGGCCTATAGAGGGCTATTGTTCCAGAGTTTTGCTTGTTAGCATGTTTATAGGCTGAGCTGCTTTGCCCACAGTTCAACCACATACAAAGAAATATTTGGTATCCACACAAAATACATGGTTATAACTTCACATACCGACATTATACAATCACATGAATAGCATATATGGAATCAGAAGAAAGTAGGTTTCTATTTGACACCTCACATGGACCCCCTTTGTGCCACTTGGGTGCAGCAGTGATCTAGCTGCTCCCCTCAAAATCCAGAAACATAACAGGCACCACGAGCCAGAGCGGCCCGAGGCCGCATGCACCAGCTGGTGCCCCAGGCGGAACACGTGATCGGCGCCCCCACCTGCACAGCTGTCAATAGCGTGACGTAATCATTGGACCCCCCATGATGTCATCATCGGGCGCCCCACTGAAGGTGGTGCCCTAGGCGACCGCCAAGTCGGCCTATACTCACGGGCCGCCCCTGACTACCAGCCCATATAACTCGCCACCCATAGCCATAGGGGGAGAGTAGAAGGAAACCACGCTAGCCCCACTGTGCTGCTGGTCACCCAGGAGCAGCAGGGGGCAGCTGTGGGATGTATGAGGGAGGTGAGGAGCATGTGGGCTGCACAGTGGCTAGAAACCTCCCCAGGAGCAACTGGCAGAGGGGGGAAACACAGACAAGTATAGCACCCTCATACACTTTTGTGCACCCCAGTCCTTCCAGAGTCCGCACTCTTTC